GATGCAGCGAGGCGAGGCGAGGAAAGAGAGAGGGGAGTCGGGGCGGCGCCTTTTATGGGGAGGGGCGAGGAGGTGGCGTGGGGAAGGGGTAGGAGGAGGCCGGGGCGACCACGGCGAGCGGCGGCGGCGGCTCGGACTCGGGGAGTCCTGCTCGGGCACGCGCGAGGGAGACGGCGGCGCTGTTGGGCTGGGCCGTGGCCTGGCTCGGGCGCTGGGCCGGCCCAGTCGGCGGTGGGGATTTTTTTTAAAACATTTTCCAGAAAACTAAATAGAATAACCCACCAAAAATAAATAAATAAAATATACTATAGGCATAATATATCAAAAGTTTCAGAAAAAGATTTTCTACGACTTGAACATTTTTCTAAAGTCAAATAAAATACACACAAATTCAAATAAAGCAAAGAGTGCTTCTGCCCTAGTAAAATCCAGTAAAAATCATTTTAAAAATACTAAAATTAATTCAAATTTATTTCTCTCCAATTTTCTGATGTGGGAAATCATGTTACCCTATTTTTCATATATTTTTATTTTTGGAGAAAAATAATTTGAATAAAACTCAAATAACTCCAAATTGAAAAATAAATTCAAAAGAACTTTGAAATTAATTCTTTGAAACTCTCAACTCATATTTCATATGTTTTGAAGAAGTCATTTTATCTTCGCTCGTGAAAATCATTGAGTTGCATAAAGTTCCTGGGTTGGAAATATTTTTCAAATGAAATTCAAATATTTCAACACCCCTTGTCATTTAAATAAATGGAAGAAGTCATGTCATCTTCTCTCCAGGGTTTTGTGGTGAAAAGAATTCGAATTCATGAAGATCATAAAATGCAAAATGAAAGTTTGGGAAAGTCCTTTTATTCCCTCTCATTTAAATTTCAAAAAGTTTCAAATTTCACTCAATCAATCACACAACAATCAAACAATCAATCAAATCTATCTATTTGATATAACATTCCAAAATTTAGAATTTTAGGATATTACAGCCACATACATCTCAGTCGCTCGCCTCGACGAAATCTTCAAGGAGACAGTCATAGGGCAAGCGTTAGCAGTGAGAGGGGTGTGCCGCTTGACACGAGTTTGTGATGACACATGTGGCACTTTCAAAGAGCGGGCACACCATCTGGTGCAACTTCGAGGCGGCATTCCCGGCCACAGAGCGTGCCATCTTGAGCCATCCCTTGCTGGTCAGGCAATCTCTATCTTCATGATCAGCCAATTCCGTGCCTAGTACTCAAGCCAACTCGTCACATCTGGTGCAACTTCGAGGCGGCATTTTCGGCCACAGAACATGCCATCTTGAGCCATCCCTTGCTGGTCAGGCAATCTCTAACTTCATGATCAGCCAATTCCGTGCCTAGTACTCAAGCCTACTCGTCGCATATGCATGTGCCCAGTGCATAGCATTCACCATCAGCTGGGGTGCAAAATGCAGGCTATAGCTGCTACATATTTGTAAGGCAAATTTTCAACACCTCTGCTACTAATTATGTATGAAAATATCGCTAATCGACATTACGGTGAACAATACATTAAAAACAAACGGAAAGTAAGTTCTAAAAATTATGATTTCTTCTCTAGATGTTCGTATTAGTGTAACAAGCGTCCTGCCAATTTTCATGCGGAACGGGATAGCAGTGCTTCGTCGAGGAAAAAGCAATGTTAAGTGTACCATTTGAAGGTTACACTTGTTGTCGACTTGTTTTTTTTTTTTTGCACAAGTCAACATGCTTGCTTTCCCCCTAAAAGTTTAGAAGTACCATTTGGGTGTGAAAACAAACAAACACACACACACACACACACACACACACACACACACACATATGGTAGACTCTCACCTCGACAGACTCCAAAACGATCCAAACTATGATGGAGCGCTTATAAGTTATAATATACTACATTATACAATACATTATGGAGGCTACAAATATGGTACATCTTTTGGGATGACACTTACATTACATCCTGATCGGAGAAATATATGATATGCATGGGTTCAATGATCCCTACTCCTTCTCTTGGTAACACCACAACTTCGTAAGTATGCTACTAGTACAATATAACGGCAATAATAACACACAAGTTGTCATGTTCATACACCACATAGAAACGAGAGGCACTGTTAGGACCTACAAGTTGAACACCTGAAATGTTTATCTTGTGGTTGACTTATGACAATTTTCAAGATGGCGGACATGGAGAAATTAAGCTACAGGAGCAAAGCAACATAAGTAGGTTCAGTACACCAGTAACAGACAATTTTAAAGACTTCATTCGCCACATTGGATCCAAAGTTCACCATTAGACACAGGTTCTGAGAAATGATGAAAATGATAGCAGGGTCAACGCCAGCGACATCCACTAATGAGGCACAACCGAAAATAACTTTATCTACTTGATCAACAGCATTATGTTTATATTCTACTGAGACGGTTCCTGCTTGCTGACTCCAGAGAGTAGTGAACTGATCTAGCTGCGCCTTGGGCAACTTGCGGAGAGATGCAAGCACATCCTTCGATGATCAGAGAATCCAACTTCTGTGAATGTACCAGCTCGGTTAATCCAGCATCAGTCACCTGACTACACAACCGGAGTGTCAGACTCCTCAAGCACGGGGTGCGCGCAATGGAATGCATCCCAGCATCTGTTACCCGATCGTTCACCGCAAGCTCGAGTGTCTCCAGGAATGGTGAGGATGAAAGTACCATCATCCCTTCATCATCAAAGAAGTCAGCTCCGTTAAGCACAAGAACACGAATCTGACAAGACTGAATGAGAATCCTAACGCACTCTAGTGTTAAGCCTATATCTGGCAAGTAGAATGTGCCCTCATGAAATGTAAGTTCAACGCTCTGAAGCATAGGACAACCGAGAGCTAAAGCCTGAAGACTGTGATCAGTAACCGATGGTATGTAAAGAAAATCATTGTCATCGGCAACATACTGAGGAGGCATGAGCCATAGTGAAATGCTTTTAAGATTGTTGCAGCTGTGGGATAGCGCAATCATGTCATTGTCGGTTAGACTTACAACATACTTAAGGCATAGCTTCTCCAATGCTTTGCATTTCCCCAAGAGAAGACAAAGTCTCAGCTCTGACCTTGCTTGAATATGCACCAACCTCAAATCCTTCAAATTGTCACAGAGGAAATCACATGCACTCGGGTTGTGCACATCATATAAGGGATCATTAAACCCAAGCATATCATCTATTTCTACCTTGCTCTCAAACTCAAACTTCCAAAGCTTCATCCATCCTGGACCAAACTTTAGTAGGTCAGGCTGCCTGATTCTGTTGCAATTCCTTACTACAAGTTCTTCCAGTGATCCATTCCAGCCAAGGTACTCTAGCCACTCTCCGCTGCTTATTTTCTTGCAATCAATAAGGTGGAGAGCAGATAAATTGTTGCAGCCAATTGCCACCGAGAGAAGTCCCCTTGAAGTTATGCTTGGTACAGAGTTTAGTGTGAGCGACATCAACTTCTTACAATTGGCTAGACAACTAAGACCAGAATCATCAATGTATGAGAAGAAGCTCAAGGTTTGACCGGTGTAATTGATTTCCATTTTCGACAAATTGGAGAATCGGGAACAAAGCGATGACAAGGTTTCTGTAGCAGAAAACAAGCTGCATCCTAAGTGGATAGAGGCCCTTTGATTCGCCTCAACGACGCACAGACTTTTTGACACAAGGGAAAGAGAATTCAGATCGCTTGTCCTGGTAATCCTCTGGACGATTTCTGCCTGCAGTACCTCCGGGAGATCCTCCATCGAGCAATGCAGCTGTAAATTGGGCAATCTCAAGGTTCAGCGGGTAACCGAAGTGCTGGAATGAAATTAATGAAATACAAGAGCGAAGCATGTGACAATGATATCACACCAATGTTAATCACGAAGAACACACTGGTGAAAATCTATGTTCTAATCTTGGTCACAAAAATCACTCCAGCTAATCTACAAAGATATAAACTAGAACTGCCACAAGTTTGTGAGAGAAAACTGTTGCACTAATCTTACATATTCAAAGGCAGCTGGGCCAGAAAGAATGGGGTTGTTCACTAAGATAACGATGATCCCAGACATACTGATGCGATGATCTAGAAGCACTTAATTAAGTAAATGACATAGAAGGCAATATGAGGTCTGGTTAATATTTGCTTCAACGTTGCAGCTTAGGCATATTACCGGCCGGTTTGCTCCATTTACGCTCATCACTTTTGGATCAAGAACCAAAAGAGAGCGAGAGATATAGAGAGAGGAGGGCAGACAAGGCTGCACACCTACGGAACACAATAGACGAACACAGAAGGACAAGAGTTGCTTTTTTTAGTACCTGGAATTTGGAAAACGCGACGGTAGGAGAGAAGGAGAGACGACAACAATAGATCTATCGGAGCAAGAGAAGCCAGGCGGCGCCTTCCGCCTCTGCTTGATCTTGGATTGGTGAACCACCTCCACGCCAGCTGTGGACTTGGCTCCCCTCTCTGGTTGAGAGGGGACTGGGGGCTGGGGAATGGTAGCCTGGCCATTCAGTTATATATATGGTAAATATGCATTTATATTTTGATAAATACGATATGACTTTAAATGCGTTTGATTTCGATAAATACCAAATTATTTTGGTATGGTTTTAGTAATACTATATACTTACCAAAAATGACGTAAACGATTCTTGCGAGTCATCAATCACGTGTTGGGTCGGTCGCCCACGCACGGGAAAAAATTTATATGAGACCAGGTCTCATATAAATCAGGTGAGACCCGTCCTGATGGATGACATGTGGCATTCACAAATCACAAAGCATCTAATCTCTTCCCCCTGATTTTAGGTGGGGGGTGGAGTGGATGCTTTGTGATTTCTGAATGCCACGTATCATCCATCAAGATGGGTCTCACCTGCTAATCCGTAAGACCTGGTCTTATAGAATTTTTTTCCCCACGCACATCCTGACGTCACTCGCGGACCCACGCACTCGCCCACGCATGTCTTAATGTCACACCTGCGCACTCACGCACGTCCTGACGTCGCACCTGCGGACTCACACACTCGCACACACATGTCCTGACATCACACATGCGGACCACGCATTGTTCTCTCATCCCTATTTTTTTCATTCCTGGTTCATACATCTCGCATGAGCCCCACACACTGTTCATTAGCCACTCACCCTCTCCCTTATCTTCTCATTATTTTCTCTTCTTTCTTGTCCTAACAGCAACACCAACGGGCCGGCCCAAACGGCGGCGCAGTTGTCCGCTTTTTGTTTGTTTGGGTCGGCCGCCCGTCCGGCGTCTGCCCTGTTTCAGATTTGGGTCGGCAGTGCGCCCAACATGCCGATCTATTTCATGTCTGCGTGGCCGGTTGGCCGCCCTATTTCAACGAATAGCTCATTTTTGCATTGTTTCACACACAACTTTTGCATTCAAACATATAGTCAACATAGTTTCAAACCGAATAAAATATCATAGTTTTACAAGCCGAATAAAAGTAAAAATATCTCACATAGTTTTGCAAGCCGAATAAACAAGATACATCTATTGGTTGTCAACATGAGCCCACATATACTCAACCAAATCATTTTGCAGTTGTACGTGAGTTTCCCAATCACGCATGTCATGATAAAATTGGGTGAACTGTTCAAATGTTGCCGCTCCTCCATGCTCAGGCACAACATTCTCACCCTGAAACTGAAATCCTTGATCATACAGACATTCCGGACGCTCATCTTCTACGATCATATTGTGCATGATCACACAAGCAGTCATCACCTCCCACAGTTTCTGCGTGCTCCTGATATTAGCAGGATACCAAACGATGCCCCCATCGAGATTGCAAAACTGAAGGAAATATGCCCTAGAGGCAATAACAAAGTTGTTATTTTATATTTCCTTATATCATGATAAATATTTATTATTCATGCTATAATTGTATTAACCAGAAACTTGATACATGTGTGAATACATAGACAAAATAAAGTGTCCCTAGTATGCCTCTACTTGACTAGCTCGTTAATCAAAGATGGTTAAGTTTCCTAACCATAGACATGTGTTGTAATTTGATGAACGGGATCACATCATTAGGTGAATGATGTGATGGACAAGACTCATCTGTTAGCTTAGCACTATGATCGTTTAGTTTATTGCTATTGATTTCTTCATGACTTATACATGTTCCTATGACTATGAGATTATGCAACTCCCAAATACCGGAGGAACACTTAGTGTGCTATCAAACGTCACAACGTAACTGGGTGATTATAAAGATGCTCTACAGCTGTCTCTGATGGTGTTCGTTGAGTTGGCATAGATCAAGATTACTATTTGTCACTCCGATTGTCGGAGAGGTATCTCTGGGCCCCCTCGGTAATGCACATCACCATAAGCCTTGCAAGCAATGTGACAAATGAGTTAGTTGCGGGATGATGCATTACGGAACGAGTAAAGAGACTTGCCGGTAACGAGATTGAACTAGGTATTGAGATACCGACGATCGAATCTCGTGCAAGTAACATACCGATGACAAAGGGAACAACGTATGTTGTTGTGCGGTTTGACCGATAAAGATCTTCATAGAATATGTGGGAGCCAATATGAACATCCAGGTTCCGCTATTGGTTATTGACCGGAGACGTGTCTCGGTCATGTCTACATAGTTCTCAAACCCGTAGGGTCCGCACGCTTAACGTTCGGTGACGATCAGTATTATGAGTTTATGTGTTTTGATGTACCGAAGGTAGTCCGGAGTCCCGGATATGATCACGGACATGATGAGGAGTCTCGAAATGGTCGAGACATAAAGATTGATATATTGGACGGCTATATTCGGACACCAGAAGTGTTCTGGGTGATTTCGGAGAAAACCGGAGTGACGGAGGG